TCTGATTTAATGGATTTGTTTGAGCTGAGGCACAGTACATTATTGATCATCAATTTGACAAGCAGTATTTTCTGTAAAGAGGAACTATCTGTACCATCAGTAACAGGAAATAAAAACTTTAAACTGAAAGGGAACTAGATAACAGAATATAAAGATTTGGTTATTTTTATACCCATCTGTCACATAATGCTTATTTAAGTCCCAGCAACAGATGTGCTGTTGAACCAATTCAATGCATTACTTCCAACTTGGCTTGTAATGCCTGCAAAATTTGAGTCCCCTGGCATGAATGGTGAACTAATTATTGATCACATATGCTTAACGAATCTGGTTCAGTCCTTCCATCCTTACGACCTCATAGACATGCAGTTCCGTGGATTGCAGAAAGTAAGCAAAGGTAATCTTTAAACAGTGAGCCTGTATTGTTATACTGGACTCAAAGTTTTTTTGCATTGTGGAGTATGACATTTTCATACTTCATGTAATTTTGTGTGCTGCTGGTCAAGTTGTTGTACTCGTTCTCATTTGTTTTATCCTGGACTTAAAAATTGATGCCATGTTGTAAACATTTAGTGGAACATTTGAATGATAAAATAAACATTTTAAATATAAATGAACTATATTTTCTGTATTTGTATTCATGTATCGTGACTTAGTATTTTTAATTTTTGTGTTTTTAAGGTTTACATTTGTGTTTACAGCCATTGACAGCATTGAAAACTTCCTTCGGTGAACACTTTTTGGAATAATACTGTGGATTTAATAATGAATTGAACTTAGATTTAATGGTCATCCTTGCCAGAACGGTCTTTGCAATAATGACATAATAGTTTCAAGCACAGCTTTGGTCTATGAAGCCTTGATTTGTTTGTTCCCATTTAAGCTAAGGCTGAGATTTGACGATCAGTTTCTCTTTAGTTTTTCCTTGAAGAATAAAAAGCACAGAAGCCATATGGTCCACTATAATTGTGTAAGTTCTTGGTGGGGCTGTCCATTTAGTGCCTTGCCTTTTCATTGTAGCCAACTTCTTTTTTTCTGCCCCGCTTTAAAGTAAATTTCCTGTTGAAAGTTGCCACTGAATTAATTTCCACCATCTTTCAAAGAGCAAATTCTAGATCTCTGCACATTTTTTTCACTCTTACAACTGTACCCTCTGGTTACTAAGCCATCAGACAGAGGAATGTTATTCACTGTCAAAAGATTTAATATTCAAGAACACCTCAATCACATCTTCATTAAATCTTCTCTGCTTTGAGGAGAATAATCCCAATATTATAAACTCTGAAACCAATTGTTATTTGCTTTATTATTTATAATCATTAATTTTAAATTTCCTTTTTTATTAGAGGAGACTTTGGTATGGTGGTAATGTCACTGGACAAACAATCCAGAGGCCCAGACAAATGTGCTGGGGATACAAGATCTGATCCCACAACAGCAGCTAAAAAAGTTTAACTTCAATGCATTAAAGCAAAACTCTGGAATCTAAAGCTAGTTTCAGTAATAGTGATCATGGCAGCTATCATTGATTGTTTGTTGAAAATCTAGCTGGCTCACTCACCTTTTAATATAGTAGAAAATCACCAGCCTTACCAGTCTTGGCTTATATGTGACTCCCAACGCAAGCAGTGTGGTTGACTCTTAACTGTGGCCTATCATACCATTTACTTGAAAGGCATTTATGAATGGTCAACAAATGCTGCATATTTGTTGAAAAGACAGTTAGATCTGGTTATAAATTAATATGGAACAAATTTGAGGGGCTGAGTAGCTTACAGGTAGATCATGGCATATAAGTTGACCTCCTCCCAAAAGAAAAAGTCAACGTGTATGTGATGTATAAAACATGAACAGTCATTATTAGTGTTGAAGAACAATGTTTTGAAATGAGGGAAGAATGCCAACGATTCAAGCAAGATTAATATGATATTTAATTGGATTATTTAATGCTACAGGGTACCTTTAACTCAATTCAAATTGAAGCAAAGCAAATATAGCATTTCTTACCCAAAAATAGTTAATGCACGCACTGAGTGTATGCTTATACATGAATTTTAGCACCAAAAATAAAGGAGCATTTTATAAAACTGGGTTTACTTTTGTTTCATGGAATGTGGACACCACTGATGTTAATGGTTGTGGACCATCCCGAATTAATCTTTAAATTGTGAGTTGCTTTCTTGAACTGCTACAGTACTAACACCCACTGACGTTAGGAAGCGACTCTGGATTTTGATCCAGTAATTGTTGTCAGAATGGTGTGTGGTTTAAAGAAGTACTTGCAGGTGATGATATTCCCATGTATCTGCTCCTCTCGCCCTTCTGGGTGGTAGAGGTCAGAGTTTTGAAGATACTGTCAAAAGTGCCTCTGAGCTGCTGCATTGTATCTTGTAAATGTCATACACAGCTGCAACTGTGATCAAAGAGGAAGAGTGTGTTTAGGTTGATGAATGGATTGCCAAACAAGTTGGTTTTTCTGTCCTAGATGATTGTGAGCTGCTTAAATGTTATAGGAGCTGCACTATTCAGGCAAGGGAATTATTCTATCATACTCCCAACATGTGCCTTGTGCAGAGTATTGGGAAGCAGAAGTCGAGTCTCAAATCTCAGAATTGTTAGCCTCTGACCTGCTCTTGCAGCCACAGTATTTATATGTCAGGTTCAGTTGAATTCAGTTTCTGATCAGTAGTATTCCCTTTGTATTTGTTGATAAGAATTCAGTAATGTCAATGTGATTGAGTGATAGGAGAAGATGGTTAGGTTTTCTCTTGTTGCAGATGGTCATTACCTGGTGCTTGTACAGTCCACATTTTCACTTGCCATGTGTCAGCCCAAACTGGAATCTTGACTAGATTTAGCTGCACATGTAAACACTGCTCGAGTATCTGCAGACTCGCAAATGGTATTGAACATTGAATTATCTACAAACATTCTCACTTCTGACTTTATAGTAGAGCGAAGATTTTTGAAGAATCAGCTGAAGGTAATTATAGCAAGAGCACTACTTTGGGGAACTAAGGCACTTATGATGCCATGGTAGTGTCCCACCTATGAGCCAGAAGTCCACATTCGTGCCCCACTTGCTCCAGAGTTGTGTAATAGCATCTCTGAATAGATTGATTAGAAAATAAATATCTTGAAGATTCCTGCAATAATTTCTGAGGTTGAGATAATTGTCCTTTAGGTTTTCCCTGATTGCACAGTCATCAAGCTTTCCTAGGCTCCTTGATTTCCGTACTTAGTCAAATACTGCCTTGATGTCAGAAAAGAATAATTCTCACCTCTTGTCGAGAATTCAGCCCTTGTATCCATGCTGGGATCAAAGCTGTCATAAGTTCAGGAGCTGAGTGGCCTTGGCAAAACTCAAACTGAACATCAGTGAACAAGTTGCTGTTTAAGTGCTGCTTGACATCCTCTATCACTTTGATCAAGAAAAAGCGGATGGTGCTGGATTGGATTTGTCCTGCTTCATTAATGTACAGGACATAACTTATCAGTTTTCTAAATTGTTGAATAAATATCAGTATTGTAAGTGTACTGAAACAGATTGGTTTGGCACAGGGCTACTTTTGGAGAATAAATCTTCAGTACTGTAGCTGGCATATTGTGTTTATGCACCTCAACTTGGGGTACATTTTTATGTACCCTTTCCTGGTTTTAATCAAGCAAACTTCATAAAATATTTCATTAAAATATAACCAGTAAATAATCTACAAACTAATTTAGCTGCTATAATCAGTTGTGCATATTGTGACCTCTGTTTCTAAATCAGTTTGAGTTCTGCATTGCTATCATTGCTGTTCTATGTTAGTTATGGTCAGAAAATGTGTAATGTTTTGATGGGGTCATTTAATCTGGAACTTTTCACATCAGGAAGTAAAGCTGGCTGGCACAATGGCTCATTGTGAGGCAGCAATGCTAAACAATGCCAGGGACTTGGGTTTAATTCCGCCCTCATGCAACTGTCTGTCTGTCTGTGTGGAGTTTGCACAACCTCCCCATGCCAGCATGGGTTTCCTCTGGATGTTTCGATTTCCTTTCAAAGTCTGAAAATATGCAGGTGGATTGGCGATGCTAAATTGCCCACAGTATTCGGGGATCTAAAAGTAGGTGAATTAGCCATGAGAAATGCAGTGTTACTACAGGGTTAAGGTAGGGTGTGTGGGACTGGGTGGGATGTTCTTGAGGGAGTCGGTGTGGACTCGGTAGGTTGAATGGCCTGCTTCCACACTAGGGATTCTTCGTTCTTGTCTAATCACTCTGTTGTGCATTGTACTGTTTATTGTGTAGTCTCATAGCTCATGGCATCCTAGTACCTGCTTGGACATTACAATGTTTATCAATGTGTGAGGTTTAAAGTATCGTGCTGCAGGACCAAAAATCTGATCTATTTTAATTGTATAAATTGAAAATTCCATGAACTAGTTGATGCAAAATCTACAAAAGCCTAGAGTTCTCTGCAACTCTGGTGTTAAACTATTTTCAATCTTTCAAATGTGCAAACAAATTCATATGTGAGCAGTTGCTAATTTGACCTGAGGAAAGATTTATTTTGTTGTATTTATTATTTTTTGAATTGTGGCAAAAGTTGTGCTGTTCAGTTTCATATAATGTAACTGTCACTTTTAGTTAGATTTTCCACTTGTGCTGTGCGCAAAGATATCTGGAGATTGAGTCAACATGTTTGCACAATGAAAAATCAAATTATGACCTTAGCAGGGTCATTTCACAGCTGTGTAGCCCTGACAAGTGTGGCCGACTGCTTCAAACTAGAACATGTTCCCTTGATGCCTCATATTCTTCTTTAGGTTTGACTTTGGGTAGATGTGAATGTGCTTTTTTTCTCTTTTCAAAAAAAAAGCTAGTTACTATAGTCTCCATTTTTCCATACAGTGCCCATTTCTTTATGCTAAAAATAGCAGTTAAATTATTTACATGGCATTTTGTTACTGATTGTAAAGAGTTAACAGTTTTTTTTCCCCCAAATGATTCTGTTTTAGCACTGAGTTGCCAGAGAGGGAAGAAGGTGAGGGAGAAGAGAGTGACCTGCCAAATTCATCCTACAACAACTGGAGACAAGCTCGGCGGTATGTTAATATTTTGTTCACCAAGCATGGCATAAAAAAGGCAATATAGAAACATTTTGTGTCTGGCTTCTGGCTCAGTGTTATTGGCCAATTTTGGGTTTAATCTATTGTTGTTCAAGTTGCAGCACTGTCCTTGACTTTAATGAAACAAATTGACAGTGCATTTGGTAGCTTTTTCTAGCACTTCTGTTTGCAATTCGTTCAATGCTTGTAACACTTGTAAGTATATTAAAGAAACTATAGAAATTCCAGCAGGTGTTATGCCATTCTTAATTCTCCATAATTCAACATTGTCCATTTCTGAATAAACATAAGGAGATGCATTATTTCATTCTTTTAGAGTGGAGTTATGGCGAGAACCTGCAAAGTCATTGGGAATCAGTATTGTTGGTGGAAGAGGAATGGGGAGCCGACTGAGTACTGGAGAGGTCATGAGAGGAATATTCATCAAACATGTCCTAGAGGACAGTCCAGCTGGAAGAAACAGAACGTTAAAAACTGGGGACAGAATTGTTGAGGTATGCTTTTTACAACTTCAGTGAAATATTAACCCTCTCAAACATGTTTTAACTTCAAAAAAATTCTTTCAAATTAGATTGGCAATTAAAATTTAAAATTTAAGTACAGTTATTAGAAATTGAAAGGGATGCCAGAAAGGAATCGAGATAGTAATATGTAATTCCCATTCCTTTCTTTAAAAAAAAAAGTGGAAGATAAATTTCAAGTAGAAATCACAAGTTTGCAATGATGTGCAGCCTTTGAGATAACTCTAAAATATTCCAAAATCAAAAAAGTAATAGATCACAACTGTAAATTTCTGATTGCTTTGCATGAGGATGATAATCAAGTACAATGAAAAATGGCTTTCCAATGTAGATTTTTCATTTGCAATCAGTTAAGTGGTTCGAATCACACTCCGATCTGGTTCTAGACACTGGACTTGTTTAAGGAATGTGAAATGAAGGAGGCAGTAGACTGGTGTTTCAGGGCAAAAGAATTTCTGTTTTTTATTTAAAATACAAAATGGTAAGTATAACACAAGAAATATAGATAAATGCAATAAACCAAGAAATTGACACAATCAACTATACAGAGGACCGTAATACTATTAAACATACTATTTGCTGGATAAGACACGTTAGAACCTAAAACAACAACAGTTTTAATTACAGAATCTTTAATCAGGCTTCTTGCCCCTGGGGGTCCCAGCGCAATGTCACTACCTGCCTTCCCCTCCCCACTAACTAGAATGGAACTTTGGGGTCTCAGGAGTTTTAGCTCATGACTGAAGAAAACGCGGTTTTTGAAATATGTCTGGCTGTTCACACTTGCCAAACCCGGACCCTGAATGAAGACTTCATGCTGAGTAGGTTTTTCAGTTTGGGTCAAGTCTGTAGATGCAGTAAGGTGCGTATCAGGTAAGTACGTGGCTTTTGTTTTTAAACTTTCTGCTGGTTTCATGGACCTGGTTTTCACGTCAGGATGTGTCTGAGACCTTGTGAAGTCAGTCAAGTCGGTTGGTTTGCAGAGTTTGTAGGTTCTTGGATGTTGGTTGTGTTCAGTTGCCGTTGGTTCTCCTGGCTTGTGTCTGGTAGCTCTTGCTTGGGAGCTCTCAATGTATTTGGAATTGTTCACTTGGGTGAGATTGGGGCCTGCAGTTATACTGATTGTGGGCCCCTTATCTTTGTGCCAAACCTGTGTTGTCCTCTGTGTTTTTGGTCTTTCCTTCTGAAGTCAGTTGGTTTCCCGATTGTTAAGAGTATGTGTGAATGGATTTTGAGTGAAGTTGAATGTCTGGTGTCTCTAAGCCCCATACTGTCTGTGCTGGGTAGCCCGAGGTGTCAAAGCTGTCTCGGGCTAGAGTCTGTTGGTTTTGGTTGTTTGTCCTTTTAGGGAAGAGGTGTAAATTGGACTTCCAGGCTGGGCAATAGTCCCAGACAGAAATCCTTATTCTGCTGGTTCTGTTGTGTTTGCTACAGCATCAGTCCAGGGTTTTGCCCATTGTTTTAGATGATGAGGATTTTTGCATGATCCTGTACCAGCAAGATGCGAGTTGAATCTAGATAGTATTTTATGCCGCCTTGAATTTTATGTATTGGTAAGTTCACTAACGTCTCCCATAGTTTCTTGTCATTGTCTCATCACATACAAAGATTTCTCCCCTAACCATACCCAATCAGATGAAGAAAAAAATCAGAAACGTGCTTCAGAACACCAGTGGTTCTGTTAGCAATAACAGTTCAGCAAACTTTGTTTGAACTGGTACTCTTAATAAACTGCCAAACATTATTTACCTCAAATACTAGAAGTTTACTGTATTATGGTGATCTCTGCAATGTCAGAGTAGTCAGTTCAGGGTACAAGTGAGAAGGCTTCTTTCGGAAAGTTTTATTTAAGGCAAAGTTGCATTATTATTTAAGTTATTTATGCTATAAATAACGTATAACAGTGATGTGTACACCTCCTGTATTATGTTTCTATTACTTCGTGTGTCTTTACAATGATCGTGTTTTGTGTAGTGCGTTTTTACAATGATCCCAGTTGACCTCTTGGTCAACCTGCATAGTCCTGGTCCCGTAGGTGCTGGTTAATAAAAGATTTGCTGTATTTTATTCAACGAATGTGTTTGCATTTGGAGGGCTGTTTTGCCATGTGATCAACAAATTCAGTATGTAATGGGAGAGTGGTTGACAGAATATTAACTGAAGGGTCATGTTGAGTTAAAATGATAGTAAAATTACAAGTTAGTACTCTGTTCCTACATTACAGATGCTTGAGTCCATATAACTTTTATCATTTAAGTTCTTCACTGAGGACCCCAAACCATGCAAGGCATAGGGCTACATTGGTACATTTTACATCCTGCATTCTTACTGGTTCGAACATAGTTGAATTTCTGAATTGCTTTCAGTGTTCTGGATATAATGGTGGTGACCAGTTCTAAAACTGGGTAGATTGCGTAAGAGATTTTTTAAGGCTTGTACAAATATTAACTCTTGTTATGTTTTCACCTTCATGACTTGAAGGGTCCTGTTGCACTGATTTGATTGATTGCAATATTACCTTCCCATAGTACTTAGTTTCACATTCTTTTGCTTTTTTATAATTCATCTCTGACAAATAAGTGTTGAAGGGCGTAGAAGATCAACATAGTTTACTGTTCCTAATTGCTGTCCAGTGACTGTTGGGAAAATATGCATGAGAAAAGAGTGAAGCTAAGCTGCAGCTTCTTTCTTCACTCAAGATTGCTTAACTTGTCTGTCATTTTTAAGCTGCAACTGAGCAGTGACCACTTGAGTAGATGTGCGAGTAGTTACTGTTCCTGTGAAATTTTAGCCTATTGCGAGTTAGTTGCTTGAAAGGAGAATAGTTGGACGGGGCAGAAGCAGTGGCAACTTTGCTCCTATTAACAATTTTTAGGATCTTACCAGTACCTAGTCAATATTTCTCATTGGAATTTGATATATGATATCATGTCATGTCATGACTGTTCTAGTGCAGACTTTTTTCTGAAAACCTACTTTTTATTCCTTTGCAGGTAGATGGGGTTGACTTGCGAGATGCCAGCCATGAAGAGGCAGTTGAAGCTATACGAAAAGCAGGCAATCCTGTAGTGTTTTTAGTCCAGAGTTTAATAAGCAGGCCTCGGGTATGTTAACTGATGAACACACAAATTTTAAAAAATTACTATCAAATGAGTTAAGTTATCTTATTCCTAACATTGATGTATGTAAAAAGCGATTCATTTATTGTGTTGCATTTTAAAACTGTTATCACCCTCTTTGCTCCAAATAGGACAAGACTCCACCTGTTACTATTTGCTAACTATTTACATGCCAGCCATAGATTTTTGGGGTCCCTTATGTTGCCTGCCATTTGTACTCATCTTCCTTCATTCTCATTCTAATTTTCATCTTTACTTTCTCTCTCAGCTAATTGTATTTGAGTTGAGTTTTGTTCAAAGAATTCACCTCCTATGCGTCATACACTTTTTTTGCCAACTTAATCTGCATTTCATTTACATTCCAAGGTGCCCAAGATTTGATTCCTTTACCTTTTCCACTTGTTGGAATATCCAAGCTTTTATCTGATATGAACCAAAGATGATTCATTCCGTTATTGATTTGCTTCTGGCTGGATCCCTCTTAAGTTTGAAATTTGCACTGTTCTGATTTATACAGTCTCATTTCTGATTGATCCGTGCTCTTTTGTATAACAACTCTAACCATGTAATGGTATGATCAATCTTACTCAACTAATTCTCTACAGTCCTACTGGCCCAACTGTTCTTTTCCAGAAAAAGATCCAGCAATGTTTTCTTTCTAGGTGGACCCAAATCAAGGTGTCCTGAGCATATTTCAGTAATTCTGCCTCCGCCTGAATGAAACTATCTTAGCCAGCACCTGCTCCATCGCTGTAACACGCAGCCATTTTGTCCTATGAGAGGGATGGAGGGGGTGAGAGAGGGAGGGGAAGAGGGATGTGAGGGGGACTGCACCAGAGGTGAGGGAGGGGGTTGAGAGAGAGAAACATGAAGGGGGAAGGGGTACAAACCCACTCTCTCATGCATTCCGTGCACTCCTCCCTCTTGGGGGTGGAGCCCACTCCTCTCTTCCCCAACCCCCTCCTACAGCCCTCTCTTTCCCCCCACCCTCCATTCTTGCCCACCTGCCTGTTATTCTCCCCTCTATCTTGTGGAGAGGAAGAAGCTTATTGAATATCGCCATAGCCTCTTTGTGCTGCTCAACTGTATCCAAGTGTCTCTTTCCCCGAAGGATATCCTTCTTTTCACTTGTACAATGTTTAACTAATCAGTATTGCCATGTCACCTCCTTTTCCTCCCATCATCTTCTCTGAGCACTTTTACCTACCCAGTTCTTTCTACTCTTGAGACCCATGTCCTTTATTGCTACTGCACTGTATTCTCAGGTGGCAATTTGTTTGTGGCTAACCAACCTTATCACATTTTGATGTGTTTACGTGTATGCATTGGAGTCCTGTCTTTGTGTTAATCTGTTCCTATTTACTATGTTACTATTTCCTACTTCAGTAGTGTCTAATAAATTAATTTTATGCAACATTTTCATTTCTAAAACTTGTATATGCTGGTGCCCATTCCCCTGTCAGTTAAGTTTAAATGCTCCCTAGTAATACTAATGATGGTAAGTTATGATTTGTCTGGTTAGCATGCAAAATAATACTTTTCACTGCATCTCAGGACATGTGGCAATAATAAAGCAATTGAAATCAAAATTAGGATCAAATTACGAGTATATTGGTCCTGAGATAGTAGGAACTGCAGATGCTGGAGAATCTGAGATAACCAGGTTTAGAGCTGGATGAACACAGCAGGCCAAGCAGCATCAGAGGAGCAGGAAAGCTGACGTTTTGGGCCTCGACACTTCTTCAGACCTTTCTGAAGAAGGGTCTAGGCCCAAATCGTCAGCTTTCCTGCTGCTCTGATGCTGCTTGGCCTATATTGGTCCTGTCTTGTTTTGAATAGATGACTCCTGCCCCAGAAATAATGCTTAAAGAATCTGAAGCCATCCCTTCTCCCATTTAAGCCATTTATTGATCCTCCCGATTGTCCTATTGCTATTTTCTATATAGTACTCACCATTTTCATGTGGCACTGAGGGTCTTCCAGGGCCTATTACTCTTGAGATTTCACTTAACTTCCTCCCAAACTTCTGGGTCTTGTTCCATTGAAAATGAGTGATTTGAATACTTGTTTTTTTTATACCATTTAAGCTAATGGTTTTTAATTTGTAGCTTTGTATTAGCATAAATTTTAGTGGTGATATTGCATGAAATATTGCATAGTTGGTTTTGACAATACAGAAATCTACTTTTGTGTCGCAAAAGCTTTTTACAGAACTTAAGTTGCGATTATTAGCACTCACTGCCTTATAATTTAAGACACGCACTTGCAAATATCTGAACAAAAATGCGAGGAGATCATGGATTGTGCCTGTCAGCTATGTAATATTTGTCACTTACAACTTACTTTGAAAATTAAGTGTGTGTATAAGTTGCCAAACAAGTAATCAATGACCTGTATTAAGGTTGTTTTCATTCACTTTTGAACAGTTGTAGTCCGATTACAATTGAACGTAGTACACTACTGTGTTAAGGGTTTATCTGAAATACAACGGTGGTAAAATAAAGTGTTGATACAGTTGGTTCTGCTTTAACACGATAGTTGTGTTCCTGTGCACCATCGTGTTATAGAAAATCATGCTATATAAATAATGGGGCCTCTGGGAAAAGTCGGTTTGGGGCAGACCACCAAAAAAGTCACTCAAAATCGCTCAAAAGCCTAACACAAGGAGATTTGCGTACAGTTTGAATAAATGTTTAATTCCTATCTAATAAAAGTAAATTTAACACCTACCTTTGGGGAAAAAAAATTGTCAAGATGACTTGATAGGGGAGGTGGTTTTGAGGTTGCTCTGTTGTTAATGCAGAGGCTGAGGCTGGTCATCGTCATCTTCTTCAACATCATTATCACCACCTTCAGATGCAGTTGTGGTTGCAGGGTTAGGATGAAAAATAGTTTAATCCAGAAGTGGATGGTTGTGGTTCATTGTCTTCTGAATATTTCATGGAGGTTGGCTTATGACTTGCACAGTCTTTTTGTGTTTCTTGGGACTCGAGCAGCTCTTCAACATCGTCGCTCTCCACTTCTTCAAATCCAACTTGCTTTGCCAGCTCAACACAGTGCTCTTTTCCATTCTTGAGAGCTTCTCTGATGGATCAAAGCCAAAATGTTTAAAAAACATCTGGGAGAAGCTTCTGCCAAACTGCATGCAAGCAGCCCTTACTGACATCACCCCAGGCCTCCACAATTAACGTCAATTGCAATCTTAACGTTAAAGCTCTTCCAGAATTGAAGAACACTGTCCTCATCCCCCTCAGTGGCTATAATCAGCATCTTAAATGTGCGCCTTAAATAATAAGCTCTCATAGCTGTTGTTGCACCCTGGTCCATGGGTTGAAGGAGAGTGGTTGTGTTTGGGGGTAGAAACAACACTTTGATGTTTTCATAAAGCTCAACAGTGGTGGGAGGATGGCTTGGCACAATATCCAGGATGAGGAGGATCTTGAACTTCCATTTTTTTTTGTGCAATACTCTTTAAAAATATCTTCCAAAACATCAACAATAAGGTCAGAAAAAATTTGCCATATATACCAATCTCTCTTGTTTGACCTAAAGTAGGTGCCTAGGGTAGACTTAAGGTAACCTTTCAAGGTCAAAAGTCACACAACACCATGTTTATAGTCCCAACAGGTTTATTTGAAAACACTAGCTTTCAAATAAACCTGTTGGACTATAACTTAGTGTCATGTGATTTTGACTTTGTCCAACCCTGTCCAACACCGGCACCTCCACATAATAGTAACCTTTCAAGATGCACTGAGACAATCGCATTATAGCCAGCACAAGCTCACATTTTAGAAATAGCATTCCCCTATTCGTCATTTGCATTATAGCCAATTTGCATTGCCGGAACACACATTATAGCAGAATTGACTGTATAGATACTTATCTTTTGCATATTTATTTTAACAATACAACTGTGAATTGTACGTGAAGTCTCCTTCCTAAAACAATTTAATATTGTTGTCTCCTTTTAGTGTTAACTCTTCATTTTGTTTTCCCCCTTTCTAACTTCATTTATATTTTCCTCTATTTCATCATTTTTTGTTCCCAGCCAGAATCTCAATGTAATCGTTCATCAACATTTGTTCTTAATGGGCAGAAAGGTTCCTCTACTAACCCATTCTCCTTTGATCCATCTCGGGTAAAAGCATCATTTTACATGTGATAGTAAACCCCTTTGAAAGCCATTGGCTCTGTTCTTGTTAGTTAGCAGTCTGTTTTGTTTCATTATTCTGTCTAAACAAGTAATGTATTGTTAACCATTGAAGCTCAAAATTACTCAAAAAAAACATTTTTTCTGGGACTTTCAAAAAGCATCATTTTTGTGGCGTACATTATTGCATGTGAATAGTTCATTGTGTTCTGTCAAACTTCACAAATGTTTTGTTATTTATCTCTTGCTTTGTGAAGCTGTTTTCTGTAGTAATGGCTATCAGTTGTGATATTTGGCTAATATTTCAGAGACTTGATACATAAGCAATTGTCTTTCTTCCCATGAGTTTGGATATATTTTTGGGAACAAGTGGTATGAATAGAGTGCATGTAGATTTTATAATAGATATTGATGGAAGTGCAATATTTCAGTCTATATTAGGCTAATATGAACCGAAAGAACTGCGGATGCTGTAAATTGGAACAAAAACAAAGTTGCTAGAAAGCTCAGCAGGTCTGGTAGCATCTGTGAAGGAAAAAACAGAGTTAATGTTTCGGGTCCGGTGACCTTTCCTCCCTTCCTCCGAACCAGTTCTGAGGAAGGGCCACTGGACCTGAAACGTTAACTCTGTCTTTTCCTTCACAGATGCTGCCAGACCTATTAGGCTAATATGAGTGTTCAGTCAGTAATCTGATTATACAGTAAAACATATTTTGGTGTAAAACCTGGAAACTTGTTATAAGAAGGACTGGAGCTGAACCTGGGCAAATAAAAGATGCAAGCCATGAAATACACCTTGAAAGAACCTGCTTTTTCAGTGTTACAAGTATAATTATGCATCCAAAGTTGCATCTACAGCATAGTGTGAGGTGCTGCATCAATGTCATTTTGGATGACGGCATTGAGTGTGCAGAGGTGTGTCTGAAGGAAGAATATTGGAAAGAGAAGTGATGGCCTCGTGGCATCATCGCTGGACTGTAAATTCAGACACTCGGGTAATGTTCTGGAGACCCAAGTTTTCGTCCCACCATGGCAGATAGTGGAAATTGAATTTGATTTTTCAAAAAAAAATAATCTGGAATGAATAGTACCATGAAACCATTGTCGATTGTTTAAAAAAAACCCGTCTGGTTTGCTAATGTCCTTGAGGGTCAGAAACCGCCATCCTACTTGGTCTGGCCTACATGTGACTCCAGACCCACTGCAATGTGGTTGACTCTTAACTGCCCTTTAGGTAATTGGGAATAGGCAATAAATGCTGGCCTCATCTATAAATAAAAAATATAGGCAGTTCACAATACCAACCAGTGTGTAAAGCTTGCTTGGTACTAGTGCATAAATGTTGGGCATTCTGGTTGAATGGTTGGAAGGATTTACATGCCGTGAGGCATGAGCATGAGGCTTGCAGCAGAGCTAAGTGTATGAGGCTGTGATGAAGCCATGTATGTTGGACATGAGTTGTAACTAATAGAGGTTGCTGGTAGGTGAATGAATGGTAATGTATATTAAGCAGTACATGAAGGCTAATGGTGCAGTTGGTGCAACTTGGCACTTGACAGTGGATTCACTGGCCTTTAATCATTCACGTTCGTTCATTGAACTTGGTGCAGCACTTCATCCAGAACCGTGGAATTAAACTCTGATTACCATGGTTATCTCGGTGCCTGTGGATAGATGACAACTCTCCTCCTCTGCACTTCCTGCAACACAGCCTTCAGTGCAATGCCAGAATCTCGGGCCATGGCTTTTGCCGTTGCCTTACTGTATCATGCCTGCATTTTCCTAAACCAAACTGTCTTTTAGAATGACTTGTGGTTTGTGCTGCTGCCAAAATGAACTTCCTCTTTTAAGATGAAGAATAGTTTTTTTAAGTATGGTAGCCTGACTCTGCTGTTACTCAGATGTACAACCACTTACCACTATGTTGACTCCAGACTACTGCAAATATTTAAATAAGTATATGTAGATCTCACTCCCATTTTTGGGGGTTATCAGCCTCTTTGAAAATAAAGATTGAGAGCAAGAAATAGCCATATTATTGCCTACATGTGCTTCGGACCTTTTATCAAAATAATTGTGCATTTCTCTTAAATGATTCTCTCTTGGTTGTTTTCAGAGCATGGATCTCTTTGCATTTAGCTGATACTTGCACACTGATCTTGTTTCCTATATACCAAATATAGCATGTTACATTCTACATGTAGTTTGATTGTAATAATCCATATTTTGTGAAGAAATCTGCCTAGAAACAGTATTGCATACATTGCATGTAGTCAGGTTAACATACTGAAATTTTGTTTAGAGCAGAATTTAAGTTTAAAGAATAAATTGTGAAATAAAAATTTTTGTTGACAATGCAAAAGTCTTTTATAAAAAAAAATAACTTGTAAGGCAATAAGTGTTAAAAAGTCTAATTTCAAAACCACTTGCATTTACAGGAACTCTATTTGGTTAATGGGACAGAATCCTGTGCTTTGACATTAGTGAGCTTAGAGGCAGGAATGACATGTAATTTGGTTTGGTGGTCTGTATCTGCTAGAATTAACTTATGAGTAGGAAGGCCCATCATTGGCCTTTTTGTTCCACCACCAATTGAGGCCTTTAAGTAATCAAATAAGGTCCTCATTTCAAAGCTGCTGATCATAACACAATGATGAAAGCCCTGTTGCCATGCAGAGTATGGGATCTAAAGCCAGTTTGTTAGGTCCAGAAGATCCCAGCTGGGAATAATGCTTGCCCTTGCCTCCAATCCCTAGTCTGCAGCCTAGGACTTCAGGAGTGGCTTTCTGATGCTTCCTCAGTGGCGCTGCTGAGCATGAGAGATAGCAGCCTCTGATTGACGGGCAACTCTGGTTAGGCTGGACTTGAGGCCCCAAGGGTTTTGATTCCAGCTAAAGGCCTGCTGATGCTCTAGATCAGTTGATTGGCAGTACTCCAGAAAAGGGGCAATGAAGGTGTCTCTCTCTTGACTCTCCTGCTGGCTGAAGAGACTTTCATAAAGTAAGCAAATCTCAATGAAAAAACCTGCATTAGAAATATCAATGCAATTTATCTCCTAAATAAAATCATAACTCAGGATATGTTGATGTTTCAGCAATTCTGTATAGTATGAACACAATTTGAGATTTACAGCACACATTTGTGACAGCAATTACACTCATTTTTGAGCAATTGGATTCAGAGTTCATAAAATCATACAGTACTGAAGATGCCCTTCGGCCCATCAAGTTTGTACTGACAAGTGAGAAACTCCTGACCTTCAACCTAGTCCCATTGACCAGCACTGGGCCCATAGCCTTGAATGTTATGATGTGCCAAATGCTCATCCAGGTACTTTTGAAAGAATGTGAGGTAATTTTGCCTCTACCATTTCCCAGGCAGCACATTCCAGACCATCATTACCCTTTTAGGTAAAAAAGTTTTCACCCCCCCCCCCCCCAAAGCTGCCCCTCCCCTTGAACCTGTGACTCTTGTGACTGACCTTTTCATATAAAAGGAACAGCTGCTCCTTATCCACTCTATTCATGCCTCTCCTAATCGTGTACAACTCAACCAGATTGCCCCTCAGTCTTCCCTGCTCTAACAAGAACAGCCCAAGCATATCCAACTTTTCCTCAGATTTAAAATTTCCATCCAAGGCAGCATCCAGATGAATCTGCTCTGCATCCCTCCAGTGCAGTCACATCCATGCTGAAATGTGGCAACCAGAACTGCTGTCAGTACTCTGGCTGTGGTCTCACCAGAGTTCTATACAACACCAACATGACTTCCCTGCTTGTGTAATCTGACTTTTTTACCACCATACTAACTTGCCCTTCCACCTTCAGAGATCCATAGACAAATATTCCAAGGTCACTTTGTTCCGTGAAGTTTCCAAGTATGATGTGGTTCATTGAATACTTTATTGTGAAATTATTCCTTCCAGAGTATATCCCCTCACTCTTTTCAGGGTTGAATTCCATCTGCCACTTATCTGTCCATTTGACCATTCCATTTATATCTTCTTGTAACCTAATAATTCAGAAGCAAGTGTTTGTTGCAGATGTGGATTAAAAAAGAGATTTGTTTTTGAAATGAATCAATTTAAAGATGAGCTGAAAAATTGATATTGTCTGTTAGCTTAGCGATTCTATGTGCCTAGTAGGAAACTGTACAAAACGTGGGTCATATCAGCCTTATAAGATCATCGCCCTGATTCTCTGATCCAGTTCTTTGAATGCAGTATCCTTTTAGGCTGTCCAGGATTGCTGAATTTACCCCAGTTCCAATTGGAAAATTCTTAATTGAAGCTTCTGATGTTAGGGTTTATCAATTTTTGTGAACTTGTTTTTTGTTTCAGATTATGACTTTGCTTTTGTCTTGGTTTCAGAAACAACCTTTGTCTTTCCTGCAATCTAACCCCTTGCCTGAATCGAGCAGTGGCAGCAACAGTACTAACCTATTTGCTGACTCTTTTCAGACCCACAATAGCCAGGTTGGATGATGCTTGTGTGTTTTTTTTTGTCTTAAGAATCTTTTTCTTTTGGAAATATGCTTTGTTTAATTGTACTTCTCAATTTTTAATTATAATTTTTAAAGATTACGTTAACTGAATATTTTAATATATTACCATTAAGAAAGATAAATTATCATTAAAACTGTTCTGCCTGAACCATGCAATGCTAATTTATAAGCGAAATGTCTTCTTTTTTGGCATATTCCAATCAACTTAATATTTTAAAAAGTTATAGTTTACAACCAACTTTAAGCTTATTCTGATGGAGAGCCTGGTTGATTCTGGATTAGAACCTCACCCATTCATTGTTAGGGCCTCTTATCACTCCAAGCTGATGGATTGGAATATGTAGTAGCTATGAAGATGCTGTATTAAATGAGTCCATTTCTAGGGGAATAAGTTCATGACTGTAAATGATGATTAATTTCTAACTGAATCAATGATTATACTTGGATGCATTTTTCTTTCCTCATTTTTTATCAAAATGTAGTTCTAAGTTAAGGTCTTCGGTTCAATCTAATTGTATTGGAAATTAGTGAATGGAAGAATACGTGCAGAGGGGCCTAAAAAAAATGGAATATTATAGAAAATCAATTAGTGCAGTATGTGGCATTTATTACTGAGTTTAGCAGAGCTTGCATGACGTGTAGGTGTAAAGGTACTTGCTGTTAGCCTAAATCATTGAATCAAATTGCATGATGGTGCCATTAAGAAAAAAACTAGGAAGTTTCCTTTTCAAAATAGAAAAAGTGTTAAGAAATCTTCTATTTGGACTCAAAGAGCCAGATAATGCAGACCGTGATGAACTGTTTCACTTGTCCAGTAGAGTTGAAACCAGTGCGCAGAATAATTGAATGAATTCAACACTAAACTGAAAAACATTGTTTTGGTGAGTTAATCCATTGGACAGAAACCCAAAGAGGATCGTGTTGATTCATTCAGAGGAAAATTACAGTAATTCTGAAAGAAATCTATCTATTTTGGGAATCGTTTTATGTAAAATTTGAGGTGTAGCAAATAGCTAGCTTGAGAAGAACAGCTTGTGTCGGATATGTGACTTCCAAGGTCTGGGACATTGTGATGTACCTTGCCCCGTGCATAGATCAGTTGTAAACTAATTAATAGAGATTGATTGCTATCATCAGTCAGCAGTGCTGTTAATTGTATCAGGTAACTAACATGATGTAAGAATTTCTCTTGTATTTCTCTCTTCATCACTCCTTTCTTCTTACCCTGCTCCCTTCAAGCACTGTTATAAAGATGATACTTTTGTTGCATGAATCATTTAAAATGGTGAAGCTGGAAGATTTTTTTTGTTTCCTCATTGAGGAAAAACTAGTCAATCCTGTTTACCGAGAATACATGGCATTTTGCAGATGGAGTTCCAAATTTCCGTACCATTAGCTTGAATAAAATGCTTTTTTATTTCACTCTTTAACTGGTCTAGCAGTAATTTTAATGCTATTGTTCTAGATATCCTTGCAAGAGGAAGTAGTTCCTGTTCATTGACCCCCATCAAAACCCTTGATCATTTTCAGCCCTTTAATTATATTACCCCACAATCTTCTAAACTTTTGAGCGCGTAACCAATATTTATGTAATCCCCTTCTTCATAAATGAACTGCTTATAACTTGGTAGTATTCTGGTAAATCATGTTGACACATTCAGATCAATATTGACATTTTTTAAGTTGATACCTACACTAAACATAGTCCAGATGACAAAGGTTCTGTACAACTGAACATTTAGTCACTTTTGAATTCCAATCCCTTGAGATAAAGCCCAATATTCCGTTGACATCTTCATGAGTGCACTAGCTTTCATTTTAGTATGTGGACTCTTGTAACCTCTTGCTTCTTCGAACCTCCTGGAAAAATATTTCCTTTTCTCAAATCTACATTTTAGCTTACGTTTGACTTGTGCTTTGGCATATTGAAGTCAATTTATTATGGCTTTTATAATTTAAGCTACTTTTGTCCTTGTACAATTTATTTCCATCTACAAAACTTATTATCCTTCTTAATTTGTCATCTGTAAATTTGGATATCTAACGGTATTCTTTCTTCTAATTTGTTGATGTAAAAGGTGAAAAGTTGAGTCTTCAATCCAGATCCTTAGCAGATACCTCATCACACCCCACAAAGCAGAGACTATCCATTCATTCTCAGTTTGCCAGTTCCAAATCCATTACTGATCCATGTCAAATGATTCTTCTGTAATTCTTTCATTCTAGTCTGCTGAGTTGAGGTTGTGTTTCCTCATGAGGAAGGGAAACCAATCAGTCATTAAGTATTACAATTTGGCTTAAGTTTTGAGCATACTGTAGGAACTGATTACTTTTATCTCCCCTTTTAGCATGGGGTGGGAATCTAAAGAAGGAGATGAAAACAAAAGAGGAGGAAGGATAAAAACAGCACCAACACTAGGCTAATTTTCATATTGAAGTACATCTTTTCAAAATCCAAATTTAATCTTTTGGAGGAATTCTTAAAGTGAGTGTTTTCCTCATGATAAAAGTTCTTGATGTTTTAGAATTGCAAGCTTGGCTGGCCAGTCGGTTTAAGCTTTAAAATCATAGATTTTCTTAAAGAAAAAATCACTTGTTAGTTTCTCCTCTCCTTGCTTCAGACATTGACTCAAAATGAGTTACAAAAATTTACCTGGGTGTCACTGTTGCCCTTCTTTGAAACTGGTCCATATGGTTATTCTGTTTCAGTAAACCTATATATGCAGTCTGTTTTTTAAAAAAAAAAAAAAAAAATTGGCCAGTTATGAAAGTTTCTTCCCTTCATGTGGACCAACTGCCAGGGTGCTATACAGTGGTCAACTACATGAACCTTGGCCAATTTTTCTTTTTCCATTACCTTGACATTGAGGTAAATCAGAATGCTTTCGTTGATATTCTTTAACATAACCCAGATTGCGATTGGAACTCTCTTGGCCCATAGGCCCATGGAAACATTTTTTCTTAATTATCCGTGATCCTCAGAATGCTAATTAGCTGCTCACAATATAACATCCATACAATGCCATCAAAAGTTCTATTCTCTGTGGCAGAGATTAAAGTGAGTGTTTCTGCGGTACTAAGAAAAGGTTTATTACTCGACCGCTTTCATATCTTTCACTGACTTTACTTGCCATGCTGTTTGTTAAAATTCCACTTTTGATTTGAATCAAAATATACTCTGATATATTGGGAAGACTGATACCACTGCCTTCTAAATAATAACCGAAAGAACTGCGGATGATGTAAATCAGGAACAAAAACAAAGTTGCTGGAAAAGCTCAGCAGGTCTGGCAGCATCTGTGAAGGAAAAAACAGAGTTAACGTTTTGGGTCTGGTGACCCTTCCTCAGAACCACTGCCTTCTGTCCTCTGGTCCCCATCTATTGTGTGACTTAAATATTTTGCCAAGAAAACATCTGAAGAAGTACCCTGAAGATCCATATATTTTCTTTTGTCATCCTAATTTATAGCCTGAGCTGTTACATGAAGTGTTATTTTCAATGGGCTGTGTGGATATTCTTTTATCTGACAGCATTTATGCATTTTATTAGACCTCTACAGCTTCAATTGATGAGAAGGCCTTCTGTCAAGCCCATTATTCTATGACCAAAAGTCCATTTCCTGAAAATAAATTCAAGGTTAGTGAATCCCCTTGATCTGATCGTAATTCCTAGTTTCAGGTCAATGACTTAATGATAGGGACCTATATTGGATTACTTTAATACATTAAAAAATTTTTACTTAAGTCTCGGATTTAAATGTTCAGAAATCACCAGTAGCATCTGAAGATTGTCTCAGTCTTGTTTCAACCATCTGTTTGTTTTGTTACCATAGGTTTCTGCATCTCGAGCTAGGACTTTTCTGCACCCTTTCCCAACTAACTCATATGCAATCAATCCATTTAAGGTTTGTCTCATCACACTGGGTTTACAGATCAGCAGTAAATGTAATAATTTACACGTGACTATGATTCTTAATGGTGATGTGGAAAATTGAATTAAAATGGCCAAGGCTGTTCTGTTTTAGATGGAAATTAATTAATTAAAAGAGAAATCTGAGTATTTTGTGACAAAGTCTTGAAAAGTTACATGGAGTTGATTTCCATTATTTGAAATTGATAGCCAGCAATGATAAATATTCTGTTTATTGTAACTTTTTACCACTGGTTTAGCAACTTCATGGTGTGAATAGCTGAGATGTACGTTGTGTGGAGGTCAACTTCAGGATCTAATCTGTTCCATGTTGGTGAAGTTGTGCCAGCAGAGGCATTACAGTTAACAGGTTAGATGGGTCAGCATGATTTAAATAAAGTCATGTGGGGTTATGGGGAGGGGGCTTTGGATGGGGTACTCTTTGGAAGGTTGATGAAAACTCAGTGGGCCAAATGACCTGTTTCTGCACTGCAGTGTTTCTGTGATTCTAAGGTCTTGCAAAACATGGCCACTACCCTGCACTGCCTCCTGTAAGGAAATTTGTTACTCCATTGCTGCTGTCTTTACAAGATCCACACACTTCCAGAAGGCCATATTCTGGAGAGCATAGCAGGCAAATACAGTTTGAGATCCCCTTTTTAGGGAATGTATTGGAGGGCATTTCCTGAACTGTGAAGGTATTAGAACTGTACCTTCAAAAGTCCAGTGACCTGCTTGAGAATGACCTGGTGATCAAATCACACTTGTTCTATGGACCTTGTGACTCCTTTTACAGGGCCTTACGTTGGTGTCAAAAGAAATCTCTTGCCTTCTAACTGTCATCCATGCAATCCATTGGTCTCATTGAGTGAAGAATTTCCTTGTACCTGCTGAAAGCCTTTCTTTTCCTTCTCACCGTATCCTGAAAATCTCATTGAATCCCCACAATGTGGAAACAGACTATTCGGCCCAATAAGCCCACATTGATCTTCCGAAGAGCATCCCACCCAAACCTATCCCCCCCACCTATCCCTACATTTCCCATGGCTAAGGCACCTAACCTACACATCCTCGGACACTGCGGACAACCTAGCATGGCCAATCCACCTAACTTGCACATCTGTGGTCATCGTTTGTTCCCTGGGCTTGTTACTACTTCCTATCGCCCTAGAGGGAACATGTTGGACTTGTACGTGCCCCATTTCCTTTTTTTACCACCACCACCCCTTCCCCCGCTCTTCTGTAGATTTCCTGCCATGCTTAAACCCATTCTTCCCAAATCCATTTTGTTTTGGCAATGTGTTGATTTCTTTGTCAAAACAAAGCACAGGGTGACATGGTGGCTAAATGCTTAGCATTGCTGTCTCACATCGTCAGGGATCTGGAATCAATTCTCGCCTGAGGTGACTGTGTGGAGTTTGCATATTCTGCCTGTGCTCACATGGGTTTCACTGGTTGTTTTGGTTTCCTCCCACAGTCTAAAAATGTACAGATTAGGTGGACTGGCCTCGCTAAGTTGCCCCATAATGTTCAGGGATGTGTAAATTAGGTGGATTAGCTGTGGTAATGTACAGGGATAGGGCAATTCTATGCTAAGTTTAAATTGTGCTATGTTGCAATCGCTATGATTAAGTTATTTCCCCATCACCACCTGAACTACCTGTTCGGCATCATTCCCAAGAATTAGATCTAGAACAGCTTTCCCCTTGTTGAATGTTGTACATTTTGGCCAGTTGGTTCTCCTGTAAACATTTCAAGAAATCCAACCCATCCAAGCCATTAACACGATATCAAACCCGATCGCTGGCTCTTCTACTCCCTCAATGTTCTCTAACCACATAGTGGTATCATCGACCCTGGCACCAGTGTGGCAGCATACAGTCCTGGAATCACTTGTTTAGCTACTGAAAATCTTATTTATTCCCTTAACTATTAAATCCTTATCACTATTATTGTCCTCAATGTTCCCTCACTACCACCCAAACAGGTGAGTTACCTGTGGTGATGTGGACTTGTCTCTGTCGTCTTTTGCTTTCCATCCCTATTGAAATACCTTTTGGAGCATATTCACATGGCACTGAGATTTCTTTCTATCTGGAGTCAGTCTCCTTTAGATTTGCTGAGGCCAATAAACCTTTCTTTTGAAGGTTCACCTCTCCCTGGAAGTAACACTAACGTTTTATCTCCACTAGCAAAATTGTGAATTTTTTATTTCTTGTTGGCTTCCTAGTTCATCACATGCTGTGCTAGTTTTAAATGCTGTGTAGCCAACTCACCTGCTCTATTTAATCTTCCCCTAAAATTTGACACACAGTTCACATATGTGGTCTGTGAACTCTGAATCACCAATTTCTCCTTAATTAATTTAGTAGTCCTGTCACCTCATGCCCAAAAACTAATTTAAATGGACTGAATTTGGTAGATTCATTTGGTGCATCCCTAATTGCAAGAAAGTACAAATGGAATTCCTTTATCCCAGTCCTCTGGACAATCTTGATAATTGGCTCTCAACATAGTCTTTAATGTTTGATGCCACCATTCTGATGCTCCCTGCGATTCTGAATGGTAGACAGTGGATTTGAATTGTTTTATTCCTAAGCTATCTATAACTTGCTTGAATAATTTTGATGTAAAATTTTGTCCTTGATCTGATTGTGATCTCTGTGGTTAGTCTATATCTAGTTTTCAAAAAAAATTGAGTAATTCGTCAATAATCCTTTCAGCCGTGATGCTGCAAATCTCTGGAAATCTAATGTTCACGTTCATTATGGTCAGTGAATACTGATTCCCACTTTGTTTTAGATATCCCACTTTGTTTTAGATATGGGTCTATGCAATCAATTAAGACTCTTGTAAGAGATTCCTCCAATGCGTGAATGGATATTAAGGATGCTAGTTTTAATCTGCCTGAGGTTTTCCAATTACTTGACATGTAAGACGTGTCCAGCAAAATTCAACTACATCCTTATGCAGTCTAGAAATACAAATGTTTTTGTATTTCAGTTTGGGGTTTTCCTTACTCCCAAATCACACCCTACTGGTAATTTATATGTTACTTGTAACGCTTCCTTTCTGTAACCCACTAGTAATACAACTTGATGAACTTCTGCACATTTCTCGTCTACCTGAATATGTGATGGTCTCCATTTCCATATCAAGACATCATTTTTAAGATAGTAACATTCTGGGATAAAGTCATTCTTCCATGTATGCTTTTTGATACAACTGCTTTAGTTTTTTCACCTTTTCTGTGAAGTGAAAATACCCACTTAGTCCTCCACCTGTTCTTTTTTTTTTCTCAACCATTTGATCAAACATAGTGTCTGACAAATGAACTTCGACTTTCTTATCTTTATTCTTAGGAAGAGAAATCAGCTTTGATCTGTGGTTTTGTCCTGTAACACCTCAGTTGCCTGATTTTTCTACTGGCTTTTCAACCACAGTAGGCATCACTCCTACCTGTGATCCAGCTATGTCATGACCAAGGATAAATTGTATTCCTGCAACTGAGAATTTCTTTGCTTCTCCTACCACCACTGTTTACCGGACTCTCCGGCCTCACTTTATATAATGGTACGCTGCTCTTCTCACCATAAATTCCACATATTACCACTTTTTTTCTGGCAATATTCCTTCTGAATTACATATCTCCTCATCTCTCACTATAAAAGATTGACATATTCCTGTATCTCTCAAATTTTAATTTATTTACCTATTCTTCCTGGCATATGTAAGCAAATCTTACCCTCGCAAGTAAATTCTTTAAAGAGATCTGGCATTTTCTTCTCAACCAACTCCTGACCACATTGTACACTCCAGCATGACTTTTTAGCTTCCACTATGCTTTCCTTTACCACTGCAACAAAACCCACTGGCTTACCCTGTTTTCCCACATCCGTCTTCCCAGTTCTTTCTCCAAACCACCAACACTGCAACTTCATGTGGCCTGCTTTATTGCAGTCAAAACACCTGAGCTTTCTTACTTTTCTTCCCCCTCATGCGTTTCCCTTTTACCCAGTGGTAACCTATTATAACTGTCTTCAATGAGATCTCCTTTTCCCTTACCACCTGACGATTTCTCTTTTTCCCGAATTTCAATCCCTCACAGACTGAAATTGATATTGAAAACCAAACTTTGATTTATTAACCAACTCGTAATCATCTGCCATTTATGTTCCTAATCTTGCAGTTTTAACTCTGCTCTTTCACTCTGCTCGACTTCAGGAAGTGAGTTTTTGAACTCCTCCAAAATAATCATCTCTCTAAGAGCATCATATGTTTGATCTATTTTTAATGCCTTTACTCAGCTATCAAATTACTTTATTTGATTCTTTCAAATTTAATTTATGTTTGACCAGGTGGTCTCCTTAGATTTCTAAATTGTCTGTAGGCTTCTGGTACTAGCTGATTTTTCACTTGAGATAGCATTTCTCACCTCATTACACTCCCCACACACCACCTCTGATAGTGACGCAAATACCTCATTAGCTTTATTTATCAACTTTGTTTGAATCGACAATGCCTACACCGTCACCGGTCATTTCATTTGTTTAGCCACTTTCTCAAATGAAATTAAAAAGGATTTTACATCCTTCTTGTCGAACTTAGGCAACACTTGAACATATTTAAACAGATCCCTAATGAGCCTTTGGCCACAATGGATTTGCTTGTCGTCACTATCCTTCTCACTAAGCCTACCCTCTACCTCTGCCATTTTCAGTCAATTTTGAGTTCTCAGTTCCAACCTCTAAAGTTCAGAAACTCGCTTTCTCTTTTTCTTGTGCTAGTGCTATCCTTTTTTTCTTTTTCCTCTCATTTTAATCCTAATTCAAACTATTTCATTTCCTATTCATGTTCAAGCCACTTCATCTCCATTGAATTTTAGCCATTTCCAAAGATTCCAATGGTGTTCCTGGCATTGTAAATGCTGTTCAAATGCCACAACTATCTCCCCTTTTCTCACAGACAAAGGCAACCCCAACTTCAGCTTGTTTG